ATTTATTTGCATATTTATTTGTTTGTTTCTTTTGTTTGTATATAATATATATATATATATGTACTATTATTAGAATAAATAGAAAATAGTGTAAATACAATTTTTATTTTTTATTTACCTTCTGAAAATATTTCACACAAAAAAATACTCTTTTATTTATTTTATTAAAATATTAAATAAATACTTATTTTGTGTATAATGCATATTTAGGGTTTAATATATATATATATATGTGATTATTAATATATTTAAGATAAAATATAAAAATATTTGAATTTTTTCATTTTTATTAATATTTGATATAAAAATACCTTTTTCCATAATACACTTCATTTTATTTTATTTTTATAAATAATGAATAAATAGTTGTATTAAATTAGAAAATAATACCTTTTTTTCTTTAAAAATTAGGGTTTTTACCCTAAGTTCAAAATACCCCAAAAATAATACATTTTTATTTTCTTTTCTCTTTTACATAAAAAATATTTTCTCATACATATAAAAAACTTTCTTTTTGCATTTCACATATTTATTTAATTTCCATTTAATTATGCAATTTATTTACCTTGCAAATATTCAAAATGATGTAATAATTTAGATTTAAATTCTTGTCAATATCCCCCATTTGAACATTTGTACCCCCCTTCCCATATTTGGTTTTGTAATAGCTTAGTAATTTTAATTTCGCACTTTATTGCTTTCTAATGATAACATGTTAGAATTAGGGTTTGTATGCGAAAAAATGATAAAAAAAATAGTTTGACCTAATACAAGATAAACAAGCATGAAAATGAACACACAAATCACACTTGCACCCCCCTAGGGTATTCCACTTGTTGCCTTCAAATAAATGGGCCATATTGTATGTTGAACTTCTTTGGGCAAAGCAAACAGTTTGAATGATCATAGTCCCTCGATAAAACTTTTCAAAACAAACAAAAACAAATGATCAAGTCCCTTAGAGAAATTGCTCAAAGACATTTAACGCCGTTGCAATTATGGTCTAAAACGATGACCCGCGCTTGTCCCTTTCACATCCTAGCACAAGGTTGCCCACCAAATACAATGGTGGAGCAAACTTGTTAAAAGGGTTAAAGTATAGCAATGATCTTTTGAGAAATTTAGGAGTAGATAACCTCTTAGTTACTTGAATTAACTTGCAAAACAAAACACTTGCCTAATTTCAAAAATCACACAACATCACACTTTCAAAACAATTTTCAAAAACAAATGAAAACCTTTTCAAAAGACATACATCTTTGTATACATCCCCACATGGATCATTACAAAGGTTGCCACCACATTGGCCTCTTTTCAAAATATTTTCAAACCCACACACTCAAGCACCATTTAAAACAATTGAAAGCAAAAGGCAAGTGATCTAAGCAAGTAACTAAGAGCCCATGGATAACCATGGATAGAAAGGGTGCTAATACCTTCCTTTTCTATAATCTACTCCCCGAACCCAAGAAAACATCTCAAAAGGTTTTTGCTGTGCTTTTTAACCTTTCCTTAGGATAAAATAAAAAGTCGGTGGCGACTCTTGCTAACCGCAACATTTGCGAATACGAACGCAAACCTCAAGTCAGTTCTCCCACCGTATCACAGTAGGGATGTCACTTTTGATGAGACCCTTATGGAGATGAAGTGCAAAAAAATGGGTGTGAAAGGATCAGAAAATATAGTGGAAAAGACTCAGTTTGAGGTGGAGGTTCCTACTAGTGAGACTAGAGAAGAGAAGGTAGTAGAGACTCATATTTCCAGTACTATTGAAGGGAAACATACAGTGCCTCCTAATTATCAATTGACTCGTGATAATATTAGGAAAGAGATTGTACCACCTCAAAGGTATGATTATGCTGATCTTATTTGTTATGCTTTGAATGTGGCTGAAGGGTTGTAAAGACTCAGAACCAAATATGTTCAAGGAAGTACTAGAAAGCAAAGATAGTCTAAGATGATTGACTATAGTAAATGATGAGATGGATTCACTGATGAAGAATCATACTTGAGAGCTTGTGAGACTATCTAAGAAACAAAGGATGGTTGGATGCAAGTTGATTTTTAAGAAGAAGGAAGGTATTCCAAGAATTGAAGAACCAAGGTTTAAGGAAAGACTTGTAGCGAAGGGCTTCACTTAGGTGGAAGGGATTGACTACAATGGAATTTTTTTAGATGTGGTAAAACATTATTCTATAAGGGTACTTATTGAAATTGCAAATCAATATAATCTTGAGTTAGAACAGATGGACGTCAAAACAACTTTCTTACATGGAGACCTTGAAGAGGCAATCTACATGGAACAACCTGGAGGTTTTGTAGAAGATAAGGCTAAGGTATGTTTGTTGAAGAAATCTTTGTATAGGTTAAAACAAAGCCCAAGGCAGTGGTGTCGTCGGTTTGATGAATTTCTTCTTAAACATGGTTTTGTAAGAAGCAATTATGATAGTTGTGTATACATATTGAAGAAGAGCGAGAAAGTCATTATCTACCTCATTCTATATGTTGATGATATTATGATGGAAAACTCTAGCAAAAACGAGATCGGTAAGCTCAAGAAGATCTTGAATAGTGAATTTGAGATGAAAGATCTCGGTGAAGCTAAAAGAATTGTGGGTATGAATATTATAAGAGTGAATTGTTCTTATCTCAATCTAGTTACTTGAAGAAAGTGATGGAGCGGTTTAGAATGCAAGTTGTTAAAACCGTCAACACTCTTTTGAGTTATCACACGAAACTTTCGATTAAAAATATCCTCAGACTCACAAAGAGAAGAAGATAATAGAGAGTACTCCCTATGAAAGTGGAGTTGAAAGCATTATGTATGGTATGGTTTGACCTAAAATTAATATTTTGATTGAACTTTTTTTGTGAACTATGAATAACTATATTATGCATTTAATATATATTAATAAGTAATTGAAATTGTATCTTTATTAAAAAATAATATGAATATTAGTAGTATATTGTATTAGAATTTTTGTAAAAAAAATCAAATAAATGAACGGACTTTCCGCAACCCGGTTGGGCTAGCCCAATTAATATCGGCCCTTTAAATGGCTGGGCTTAAAAATCTGGATAATAAACGAGCTCTAATTTCTTTGTTCATGCCCCAATTTTTTTGTGGGCTTTCGGGTCGGCTCGGTTGGTTCGGCCCGTTTTGTCGACTCTAATGTTGAGGTGTTTGAATGGTGCTAAAGGGTGGTTTAAAGTACACAAAGTCAACTCAAGAGAAAGACACTTTGGATGATTCTGTAGATTCTGACTATGCAGGTAATGTAGACACTAGAAAATCCTTATTAGGTTTTTATGTTTACATTGTTTGGGACAATTATAAGTTGAAAGGCAAATCGACAATCAGTGGTCGCATTATCTACTACTCAAGCGAAATATATTGTCCTTGTTGAAAGGGTCAAGGATGCCATATGGCTGAAAAACATGATTGGGGAGTTATGGATTACTCAAGAATGTGTGAAGATAAATTGTGATAGTCAAAGTGCCATTCATCTGGAAAATCATCAAATTTATCATGAGAGGACAAAACACATTGACATCCGTTTACACTTTATAAGAGAAATGATGGAGTCAAAGGGGATTCAAGTTCAGAAAGTGTCATCGGAAAAGAATCCAGCTTATATATTCACTAAATCATCGCCAAAATCAAGGTTTAAGCATTGCTTGGACTTGATCAAATTTGTTGAAGAGTAATTCAAGCTTTGGAGAGAACAACAAGGTGGTTGGTGGTTAAATTGACATCACCGTCGGTTTAAAGTCAAGGTAGAGAGTTGTTGTAATATGCCTTTAAGTGAAAAAAGAGAAAGAAAAGAGGCATATTTTGGTACTGACAATTTTTGGGATTGTTTGTGGATCTGTTTGTTAATGAGTCATATCTTGGACTCGTTAATATTTTGTTAGTTATAAATATGAGTTTTCTCTCATTTGTTAGGTGAGAGTTGCATAAGGTAGAAATAAGAGTTTAGAATTCAAGGAAAACCTTTTAGAGTTATTTAGAAGGGTAAGATAATACTTCTTGATATCTTGGGTGAAAGGTCAAATAATACTTCTTTATACCTTGGGTTTGAATGATTCATATTTTGAGAGTTAAAGAGGTTGAGAAACACTTTGATAGAAAATAAGGGTTTGTTCTTGTGAGCCTTTAGAGTTTGTTCTTAGAAACTTTGAAGGCGAAGACTATTTTCTTTTCTTTTAATTCATCTGCAATCTCTTGTAACAATTTTCTGAATATAGTAAATTGAAAAAGTGCTCTCTCCCCCAAACATAGATCATTTGATCGAACTAGATAAACACTTTTCTTGGGTTCTCGCCTACTATTACTTTTATTGCTTAAACCATTTATTTATTTGCCATTGTTCTTTATCCCAACATATCAAAGTCTTGATTGAAATTGAACCTTATCATTATCACAACACAGAAAAATAGAATTTTGAGCTGATAATTCTACAAACTACCCACAATTTAACACTCACCAACTACGTTACATGTTAGCGGTTTTATCATGTACAACATTACTCAAGAGAAATTTGATTGCTTGTAGAGCACATTTTACAACATTCACGCTGGCATGACATTGATGACTCTTCAACTGAGTTTGGAGGACACGAGTTTCAATACACATTATGAGTTTCTTAAAGATAAAAAGTTCCAACTATAATTTTGATTTATGGACGGCTAAAACATTTGAAATTGTCATATTACAGAATAAAAGTGATGTATAAGAATGTTGATTTGTTACATAACACCTTCTCCACCACTAGTGGTTCCCACCAACTTTATTCCAACCGTTTTTCGTTACCATTTCATTTCTAGGCCCACATTCACATTATACTGTTCTCTTCTCTTCAAAATCTAATCTTAAAATAGTTACATACATATTACATACACCTCTTAACTCAACTTGCAAAATTCAGCATAAAGAGTTCTAAATTTGTTACTAGTTTGAGGAGTTCGAGGTTGTTTTGTTTTGTTTTGATTGGTTGACAATGTCTGCTGCTGTAGGAGCTGTGTCAGCGACCAAAGATGTTTCTTTTAATGTTCATTTGGAGGAAGAGAACAAAAACAAAGGAACCAAAAAGGTTGATGGTGTCAACTATGATGATGTTGAGGAAATTGTGCTAGATGAAGATGAAGAGGAAGAACACAAGGTGGAGTTGGATCTTGGTCCTCAGTTTTCTCTCAAGGAACAGCTTGAGAAAGATAAGGTGAGGTTTTTTTTCTTCAAATGTTTCTGAATTTTGGTTTCTCATACTAGCTGTTTTTTTTTATGAATTGGAATTTTTGTTTGGGATTTTGAAGGATGATGAAAGCTTGAGGAAATGGAAAGAGCAACTTCTAGGAAATGTTGATGTGTCTGCTGTTGGAGGTACTTGGCTTCTCCTCAATTTTGTTTATCTTTATAGTCGTCGATCGCGTTCAGATAAATTTTGACAGTTAGAAACGATCGAGATTTATCTAAGGAGCATCTAGAATGTCTTTAAACATGTTAAAGTTTGAAAAATGTAAATGTCACTTTGTTGTAATGTAGAGAAAATTGAGCCAGAAGTGAAGATAGTGAGTCTCACCATTATATGCCAAGGAAGACCTAACCTCATCTTGCCAATTCCACTCACTAGTACTGATTCCAAAAAGAGTATTTTCACTCTCAAGGAAGGAAGCCAATACAGGCTAAGATTCTCCTTCACTGTCTCAAACAACATTGTTTCTGGACTCAAATATACTAATGTTGTTTGGAAAACTGGGGTTAGAGGTGAGACACATAGTCTTCATATTTTGTTTTAGTTAAGATTAATTGAGCAACCATGTTTTATTATTTGTCTTTGTTTTCATGAATTTATTGAAATAGTGGACAACACAAAGAAAATGTTGGGAACTTATAGCCCACAGCAGGAACCATATACATATGAATTGGAAGAAGAAATTACTCCTTCTGGTTTGTTTGTAAGAGGAACCTATTCAGCAAGAACCAAGGTACGGAAATTACTACATAGCACAACACTTTAGATTGAATATATTTTGATGTTAGACATTAGACACTGACGATTGTAGTTATACTCAGTCACTTCTATTTTATTAAACTATTATCGGTGTCTGTATAGCAGTGTCACGTGAATTTGTGTAAAACTAACTCATATTTGTTGGTTTAGTTTGTAGATGATGATCGAAAATGCTACCTGGATGCTAGTTATAGGTTTGAGATTCAGAAGAATTGGCCTACACACAACTAAGAGAGATAGAAATTCAACTCTATGTTTGATTATAAATTTGAGTTAGTGGAGTAGTGCACATGCATGCTAAATGATAGTGCAAATCTTTCTTCCCCTTCTATTATATGGTTTCATTTTTTGCATTGTAATGACTAAAATTTTCACATAAAGGAAATGCTCGTGACAATCGCACTCATTCCACCTAAGATGCTTCTATTGTTATTATTATCTTGTAAGGGGTGAAGAAAAATGGGGTGGAAATGGACCCCATGTGGATATACAGAAATAGATATCATCAACTACTGCTTGTTCTTTCTGAAGCAAATGGCCAAAAATTCCATCAATTCTTTGGTGGTCCAAATATTTTTTGCTATTATGATCACATGCTGTTTGCTAACGGTTAAAATCAGGAAGAAAAAAGAATTCTATCCAAATTAAACCATGAAAAAAATTTATAATGGCTAGTTACAAGCACTTGAAGTCAAGTACAATTATATAATAGTTAGGTGCTAATAACATCACTTGTATTAATTAATGATCACAATTTCCTCTTTTCTTTGTCATCATATCTACCTCTTCTCTACTTTTCCTTAAAAAGATTACTAATGCATTAACTTTCATGCATAAGTAAATGAGGTAAAGATAAGTAAAAATTGTACTAACCATGCACACGAACAGACTTGCCGATTTCTTAACTAGTTCGCATTATGTCAACAATGATTGTTATTACATCAAAATCTGAATACCAAAATCATCGAGAACTAGCGGTATATCCTAAATTTTATTCTCCCTTGCCTCATGTCAACAGACACTCATTTTGTATACTGTACTGTACAAAGCCTTCAAAAATAATATGTACATGTAATATGTAGATTTAAAAAAAATGAAGCAGACCACTGATATTACTACTCTTGAATATATTAATCACCTAGAATCACCAATAATCCAACAATGCAAATTTTACTTGCAATCCTATCTTACCACCGTCAGTGACAAGCTTAGCAGCTGTAACCAACCAATGTCCAGGAGCATCATGAGGGCCTCGCAAAACCTCAGCTGTCTCAACATATTTCAGTTGCTTACTCGAGCGAACAGGTACGGGTGGGCCGTTTGGATAAACGCCTGAGTTAAGTGAAGTTGGAGGCTGCTTTGGTGGCGCAGCAGTGATACTCTGCTGTGTGAATGAAAATGTTGTGCTCAAATTTGTGAGGAAAGATGATTTTCTTGAAGCCTCAGGTGCAGCACCCCACTCTGACTTCCGTATAGTGCAATTGGTTATATGAGTAAAGAGAAGACATAGATGAAGCACATTTCTTGGCCAACTTCCTTTGGTGATGAGTTGTGCACCGGTTACAATGTAAACACCTCCGCAATTATTCAACCAGTTAGGGTCATGCTTGACGACAGCTGTGCATACGTTTGAGAATCTCTTCCATCTGATTGGTTCCAGGAATTGGTTACTGGATTCATTTTCATCGGATCCTCGCCACGTAGATCGTATGCTCGGGGTTGAGGTATCTGAAGAGAGGATCATCTTGTTTGGGAGGCTCGAAAGATGATTTATATGTAAAGCAAGTCTATCACTTTTCTTGCCCTCCAAGTACAGGCGGAGGCCAACCACTGGTTTTTGATCACTTACCACCTGCCATTTTGTGCAAATACCATAATTATAGAGAGAATATAAGGTTTTACTATCAGAATGAAGGATTGATAAGCCTAAATAGTTTCCAAGAAGATAAATTGAGTGGAAGATAAAAAAAGAATACAAGGTTTTACAAAGTTATGAAGCATATATTATGAAAAAAACTTAGAGCAAGTGAGCTTCTGGGCTCATAGAATTATGGCATGTTGGAACTTAGTACATTTCTGAATTCTCTCACCAAAAAAATCACACCGCAAAAACCGAAAAAGATAAAGTGTCACATGCCTTTATTCTGATCTGTGTTTCTGGTTTCTTCTGATTTTTTTATTGACGTTTCTTTTAGGAGGTTATCTTATTCACTGTTTTGTATTTCTTTCTTAATTTTCTCTAATGAACTTTCTTTGAAAAGAAAAAGCAAAAACCAATTGTCTCTCACGGCCAACTCTCCCTTTTTCTAAGTTGAAAACATCCCCCACCTTGTTAGCCCCTGAATCTTGGAATGCATCAAAGCATATCTCACCAAATCTACATACTAATCCAACCTGGTACTATCTACTTCAGAATCCGAAATGCCCTCTCCTCTAACATTACATATTGGATAAGGTGTGACATTAAAATCAGAAAGAGTAACAAATAAAGTATCTGACAAGAATTGGGAAGTATTATGAATCAACCATTTCATAAGCATAAGTTGATAAGTGAAGAGTGGACACTAGAATGGTTTTATATTACATATTTAACACGCTCTCTCAAACAGAGAGCCCTTCAGACATGAAGTATGGGGAAAAAGATAGGAGTAATAAGACTGCCCGCCTTGCACTAAAATTAACTTTTTACTTTGAAGAATGTGGGAAGCAAGGATCTAACTCTAGATCACTTAGTCGGAGCTTCTGCCACTATGTCATGAACGAACTATCCCATTAACTTAAACTGATACAGTTCAACACATGGAATGCTTATTTGAGCTAATTTGAAGAGATTTGGTTAACATTACCTGTGTAGAGCTAATTTGAAGCTTTGGACCAAAAAAATAGAATTGCAGGGAAAGGGAAGAGGTCTTTCTCCGCTGATGCCTGAGAGGCAGCTCGCAAAACATGGGCGCCCATTGCCTTGGAATTTGAAACTCCAAAAAATATTGTAAATCTTCGGGAGAAGGCTTATCTGTAGAGAACAAGAGAATCAATGATGTGTTTCGGACCTTAATAGTAATAAACCAACAAATGTTACTTTGCAAGAAGTGACAAGGATAAATTAAGAATCCATAAATTAGTTTTTCCATGGTTTGTTCAATAGAATATTCGTCAAGACGGGCATTTTGTCGACCTTGAGAAGTTAAAGACCATCTTGCATGTTTAAGTTTAAGAACTAAGCTGAACACATTAAATTGAACTCCTGTTACTAGTTTTTAATCTGGAGACTATCTACGCCGCGGCAAAAGTTTATAAATTGTAACAGATCAAAACTGGATATGGATAAATGCAGTAGACTATATATATAGTGTGTGAGAAGAACGTACATCGTAAATATAAATTGATTGCATGACTAAGATAGCCACTTCCAGGAATTCCGGTCAGAAGTGATGAAATAGGAACAAACTTGAATTTGATCGCTTCAGGATTAGAAGGGACTGTCTGGAGCCAATTTGAGTGGCTGTGCTTGTACACATCTCCTCCTCTTTTGGAGCAAATAATAGTGAGGCCCTGTTCCAAAATAAAGCCATATATTACATTCTCAAGTTAGGAATTTCAATTATTCCAAATGGCAAATATTTCTCATTGGGGGCTTACGTCCTTGCTTGACGTTTCTGAAATACTGGTAAACTGTGTCGTGTTTGATTGCATTACACGATTAAAGACCTCGGGAACCTAAATAAATAGAGAGATTGCATAAGCACTAAGCAGAAACAAAAAAGGTATATGCTGAGGTTATAAAAGATAAATCACAATACCTTCTGTTTGTTATCTGCCGTCTTCCTCTGTAGTGAAGAAGGGCTTCTTACATCCGAAAATAAAAAATCTCCAAGATCCTCTAAATGTCTTCTGATATCACCCGGAGGAATCTTAGATGAATGTTTTTGTTTGACACAAATTACATCTTGACCTCCAACAGCCATGTCTACTACTATGTGAGTACCATATGTCTGGATGAACCTGCCTAACAGACTCAATCAGCATCATATACTCAACAACCCAAAATTACAAATCATTCAAACCGTTAACTTCAGTTACTATGCTAGATTGTTTCACTTACGAAGCCTTCTAACAGGAATACAACAATTTAAATCGACTCAAACTGGTACAATCAGAAAGGATTAAAAGTCTGCCCAGAAGTAATTTGAGCCTTGTTCAGAAATATCACTTTGTTTTTTCAATTGATTATTTTTTTCGTTACTAAAAATACTAAAATTTGTAGGGATAGTTAAAATGATTGAAGCACAAAAGCAAAAACAAGCTGAATCCAGGAATGGAATATCAAGAAAAGTAATGGAATGCGGCGACATGTTATTTACACCAGGAAAACACAAATCCCATGATCTGTCCATGTATCGAATATTTCAGCTTAGTGTTTGTTTACCTAGACAATGCAGCGGGATCCCATTGAGCCGGAACAGACTTCTTTACTTCCTCTTGCAGTACAAGTGGAGAAGCAGTCAAGTGCAAACAGTAGAGAGAAATGAAATACCCATCAAAAGAAAGATATTTGATGTCAGAAGCATCTCGAAGCCAATCACCACTCAAATCAAAAAGAGCATTAAAATAGCCAGAAGGTATTTTTCCGTGTACTGCTGATTTTTGATTTAGCAGCTCAGACATCTGCAAGGAAAGAAAAGAGAGATATATAACAACACACAGAAACAAACACATCAAATTAGACACAAAAATGGTTTAAAATTGCAGTTGGCATCCGCTACTGCAGCCACAATATTGTCATTGTGGTAGCCTCTACAACGGCATCTCTGCGACCGCAATACAAACAGCTATCGAGCATAAACCAAGAAGAAAGAAAAAGAACCTGATTGAATTCAAGAATATCAGACTTGAAGCGAATTCGATCCCCTTTATCACACCGAATATTCTCAGAAACCCCTCTGATTATGGTAGCTCCACCAGCTGCAGGGATCAAAATATCTCTTTTATTCTGTTCATCAAGCACCACCAACCTTTTCCTACTATCACCACCACCCTCACGAATTCCCTTAGCAAACCTCAAACGAAAATCACTAGCCAAATCAAACCCTTTACCCAAAGATTCCAATGCCACCATCTCAATACCCTTTTCCACCTCCATACCCAAATGAAAAAATCTGAACAAAAAAATACAAATTTATATAGATAGATAGAGTCTAGTTCATCAATGTTGAATTTGGTGAAAAGGGGTT